GTTACTCGTAACAACGTAGGGGTGACCCTGACTACAAGTCGTGTCGAGCGTCTCCCCCGAAGGTGTCGCATGGCAAACTGCCCACAAGATACAATACGTAGGGGTTGTGTTGACCCGGAGTTTTCCTGAACTCAATAGTTGTCCTAATTTGTATACTCTAAGATTCATGTAAGAAGTTGCATACATCACATTTGATTGATTTACGACCGAAACTTTATTTCGTGAATTTTTCTATGAAGTTAGAGGGGGACCCCCAAATTCGTCATCAACGTTGATTACAATGGTCGTTAGAGATGGTCCCTCTGTGAGTCGATGACTTCGCTCGTCACAGAAACTCTATTCTGTATCGAAGTGAATGGCACAATGCTAGACAATAGTGGCCGCGTGAACACCGGCGTTCCTTTCAGCACAACGTCCACTGATTTACATGACAACAACGAGTCTGAACACAGAATCCAATGCGATTGTAATGTCGCCGATTTGCACTTCTATAGTCCCAGCTCGCTTCAGCGCACTCTAGTTCACCTAACCCCTCATTGTGATTTTTTTGTCACGGACATCACTACGTATGTCATTCAATGAAAGCCGCCGATTCGGCGTCCGTGTTAGACAATTGCTTAACGGCTCTGATAATACACCTGCCGACGGATAATTGAAATCATGAAAGTCGCTGCACAGAACAGCAAGAATTGATCAAGTTGGCCTCGCGGAACAAAGATGAAAACATGATTAATATTGTGTGCTAATTTGGGCTCATGCCGCAAAGTTATACGATTTTTATTAGATCAAAACTCGAAACTTATCGTCAGGTTGAAGTTGAGTGGAGGCTTTCGAAACCGATACTTACCAAATTCTGTCAATACGTTTAGCAAAACTATATAATACTTCTCAACTGGAATTAATACAACAAAAGCAACCTGAACGGTAAATAAACTTCCTTATTAGAAATAGGTTCCTGAACCTTCTAACTCCGAATGCACATAGAATTGAGCCTTTCATAGTTTCGAAAAGGGCGAACCGCTGGCCTCAGCAGCCCGCAGGAATGCTGTGTCGTCCAACGGACGCATATACAGTAGCGGTCAAAAGTGTTCGCCGAAACGATTTTCAGTGCATTATTTTTCTCGCTTGAGCAACGCCCTCCAAAGATTGATATACTATGTTTTCTAGTGTTTTTATATCCTCAAGCCTT